TCTCCACCTATACCTGAAAACAACACACCTTCTCATGAGCAGCAGCAGAGTCAACATGAGCCAAACCACACGTCACCGCCTCTCTTCACCGACGAGCCGTCTTCTCTCCAACCCTCGATGGAGCAGCCCTTAACGCGAAAGTCAACACCTGAGCAGCAGCCAGTCGCAGAGAAGCTGTCTTCAACCGTATCATCTACTTCTTCACCTCCAGTCAACACTTCAACCATTATCCCTGACGCAGCAGACAAGCCGCTTCAACCCGTTCAACCACCAAATGATGTTCCTGAGACAATCACTCTTTCAGCACCTCCAACCATCCCTAACGGTAACACGAGTCACGAAGGTATCACCGAGCATTCACAGCGTCCCAAACGAGCACGCAAGCCAGTGCAGCGCTTGAACCTCGCAGTCGGTGCATGCTTCCCAGTCACAACCAAGTGTGCCGATCCTCACTGCATGGACTGCAAGGTAGTCGCCATGTGTCACGCCATCAGTTGCCTCCCACCTGAGCCATCCACTCGCAAACAAGCACTGGCAAGCGCTGAGAGGGCAGAGTGGGTAAAGGCAGAGAGAGAAGAGATTAACAGCCTCCTTGCACAAGGTACATGGGTCCTTGCACCACTCCCTCCTGGTAAGAGAGCACTAAAGGTTAAGTGGACATACCGAGTGAAAGTGAAGGGAGACGGTACACTGGACCGATTCAAGGCACGCCTGGTAGCCAAAGGTTTCTCACAGATGCCAGGCACGGACTACACAGAGACCTTCTCTGCCGTAGCCAAGTACACCACAGTCAGGTGCCTCCTGGTAATGGCCACAGTGAAGGATCTCCACATCCATCAAATGGATGTGAAGAATGCCTTTCTCTATGGTAAGCTCGACGAAGAGATCTACATGGTACAGCCCGAAGGTTACTCCGATGGTACCACCAACGTCTGCAGGCTGCTGAAGTCCCTCTATGGACTAAAGCAAGCACCACGAGTCTGGTTTCACACCCTTGAGGTATCACTCCTCACCCAAGGTTTCACCAAGTCACAGTTCGATGCAGCACTGTACATCCTACGCACAAGTGAGGGGGAGTCCTTGTGGCTCCTAGTCTATGTGGACGACATCCTCCTCGTGTCAGCATCCTTGAGTCTCCTGACACGCATCAAAGGTATGCTCACCCAAGACTTCATCATGACAGACATGAGTGAGCCCTCACACTACCTTGGTATGAACATCGTGAGGGACCGCACCACCAAGTCACTTTTCATCTCACAGCAGAGGTACACTGAGAAGGTCCTTTCAAGGTTTGGTCTCCTTAACTGCAACCCAGTTGAGACCCCACTCCCCTCGGACTTCATGCCAAGCTCACACGAGCAAAGCATTGACCCTTCCACTGTTGAATCAGAGGTCACTGATCTTGAGGGTGAGGTCGAGAGCCTTGAGCCTCCTGAGGACATTGGTCATGACACCTATGCACCACAGTCCACGTCCCACATCACACCCCTTGAGCTCTCACTCTACCAGAGCCAAGTGGGCAGCCTTATGTACGCCTCCATCTGCACCCGTCCTGATCTTGCCCATACCGTTGCCATGCTCTCTCAATGCATGACATCACCTACTCGCATGCATCAGCGTGGGGCACTTCGTGCCCTGCGCTACCTCAAATCATCCTCTTCCTTTGGTCTCCTCTTTCAAGGGTTTGAGGGTGCAAGCATGCTGTATGGCTTCACGGATGCAAATTGGGCTGGGGATATCCCTACTCGCAGGTCCACTGGAGGATACATCTTCATGCTTGGAGGGGCAGCCATCTCTTGGCAGTCAAAGAAGCAGAGTTGTGTGGCTTTATCAACCACGGAGGCAGAGTACATGGCTGCGACCCAAGGAGCCCGAGAAGCAGTGTGGATGAGAGGCCTATTGAAGGAGCTTGACCTCCCACAAGAGAGCCCTACTCCCATCTTCATCGACAACACGTCGACGATCGCTCTCACCAAGAACCCAGTCTTCCATGGGAGGACCAAGCACATTGCGACGCAGTACCACTACGTCCGGGAGCTTGTGGAGCAGAAAATCATTGAGCCCCTGTTTTGCCGCACGAGTGAGCAAGCGGCGGATTTCCTCACCAAGGTCGTTGCACGCGACATCTTCATCAACAACCGAGTTCAAGCCGGGTTAGTCCCAGCAGTCGGATTTGAGGGTACGGGCTTGCAGTGAGGGGGAGTGTTGTGAATGGCACGCTCTTCACGTGCCACGCTACTGTGCCACTCCAACCCCTTCCCCTCAAAACACCCTCGACACATTTTCCTAAGAGCCCATCCAAACCACTCAACTCTTCCAAAGCCTATTCCAACCACTCAAGTTACAAACTCCTTTTTTTTTCAACTCATCCTCTCCAACTCAAGCCTATCAACCACCTCTTTAACTACTCCCAACCACCATAGACTTTCCTAGTCCAACTCAACCAATATTCAAACCAACTTCCCATACTTATCCTCAAGTCCCACCATAAGGCACATGACTCCTCATGATTTTCCATGTGCTTTCCTTTCCTACTCATCAAAGTTTACCCAAGTCATCTACCTCCTCCAATTATCCTCCTCTCATGTGCCTTCAAGCACATGCTTCCACTTCCTAGTCATCAACCTCCACATGCCTCTCATTTATTCCTTCCATCATTCCTTTCCCAAGTCACCAAAGTTGCCACCTCATCCCTAAGGACTTCATGATTATCCCATCACCTCCTATTACAAGGCAACAAAACTCATCATCTCCTCCACTCATCCTTATCCAACTCACTAAGCTCTCTTCCAACTCAACAAGGCTTACATCTCCAACTCATCAAGTGCTCAACCACCATCACATGCTCCAATACTATTCATCTACATCAAGCATCTCTACAACTTCTCAAGAAGGTTCTTCAATGACAACAATGCATTCCAAGCTTCTTCACCAAGCTCATTTCCAAGCTTCTCCTTCAAGCTCCTCTTCTACTACAAAGGCTCCTCACTAGCAACCAAGTTCTATGTCTCCAAAAGTTGATACTCTCATGCAACTCTCTTCCAAGGCTACCATTGATGGTTACTCTCTCTATGCATGCCTATGTATCCCTCATGGATCTATAAGGCTTGTACTATACCTCTTTCAATATAAGTTTATGCTCACAAAGTGTCTCTCATTAGTCTACAAAGTTAAGCATCAAGTGAAGAGTAATCACCTCATACTCTACTTGAGTATAAGGTTCATTACTTCCTACAAGCTTGAGGAAGGATCATCACCCAACACCAAGCTTGATGTTCTTCTTCAAGTAAAGCTCTCAAGACCAAGCCATTCCTACAAGTCACCTCTACAACTATCCCTAGTAAGATTCATTTAAGTAAGTGCCTATCCCCTCTCTTATTCTCTCAACAAGCTCATACTCTCTTTCTCCATTTTTGTGTTTTTATCTCATCAAGCATTCCACCTTACACAAGTTTCTCTTTATAGTCCCAAGTTCTAAGTATCATCTTCTCTTCTATCAAGCTCATCCTCATTTACTACAATTCCACTGTTTACTCTTGTCTTATTCTATTGTGCAATCATACTCTTTTATCCTTATCTCAATTCTTTCAATGCATGCCATGCCGCGGCACTGCACGTGGTTTGCGTGGCAGGTGAATTCCTCTTCTTGAAGAACTTCTGCCTGCCCACTCGACGTTTGCGGGTTTGAATTTGAAACTTCGAATTGTGTTTTGGGGAAGAGGAGATGCACACTGTACGAGGGCGTTTCCGGTCCGGATAATGTGCACGGCTTGGAGCAACATGATCCAGGCATGCTTGATGCATCAGCTGTATTACGTTTCAAGCGCTGTGTCCCGCTTGTGCTACTTCCACCACACACATGCCGCAGCAGCGAAACGCATGGGGACCCTGCCAAGCAACAAACAGATCCCAATTTCCCGCACTCAATTTTGAGGTACACCGTGTCTCTGTTGCCCCTGACGTTTCGTTCCCTGGTTTTCCAGCATTTCTACCCGAAAATGTTTCATTACGTGTATTGCACCCCCCCAGAGAAATTTCATGCGTCTAGTGGAGGTTCGTTTCAGACAAAATTACCACCTTGTCGCTGAGCAAAGAGCTGAGCAGCAACGGGTTGTACAGTCCACAATGTCGGTGATGGGATAACAAATCTACTCTCTTTGGATTGCGGGGTACAGTACGTACACCTGAAATCGATCAGCTGTCACCAAGCCAGACAAATCCCATCACGAGTCGCGTAAAATGGCATATGCGAATAAATTTCACAAAAGGCATCTCTTGTTAGCATCGAGTCGCACGCCAGCTATGCGCCGCACAAGCTTGAGTGGAACGCGTCGAACGGTCGGATCGTCCACATCATAAAAAAAGTGCCCGATCGTCGTAGAATGACGCCAGCATTAGCAATGATAGACCCATGTGGCATTTCGGTACACGCTGCATCGCTCGCAAACGAAATGTGTGTAGTACCCCCAAAATCAGACGCGGTACAACGAAAATCATTTGTGGTGTTTCTCCCCCGACTCTAATAACATACATGCGTGCCAAAACGGCTGTGGTGAAAAAAACCTCGGAGTCAAATGAAAAAATCTCCACCACATACCGCAGGCATTTGTAGCTGAACAAACGATTACCTACCCATAATTCTAGGCCAGGTGTGTGACATACCAAAAAGTGAGAAGAATATAGTCATACTTCAACTACTGGTGTCAAGAGCAGTCTTGTTCCATGTCTGGAGCGGCAGCACGCTATAGCTGTCATGCTGATGAGCATACGGTATGGTACGGTACTCGGCATGATGGTTTCCGATATGCGTTACTTATTTTAACAAGAACACAAGAGAGGAAGATAATGTAAGGCCTAAGAATAGACCACCGACTGTAGACAGAAAGCAGAGGTACCGGCGTTTCTAGGTATCAAAACGGCCTTTTCAGATATTCAAGAGGTAACAGCCAAGTATCAAAGGAAGATACAGGCCTTTATAAGGTATCAAAGCGACTTTAGACTTAAGAGGGGGCGCCAAGGAAGGCAGCAAGGCGCAGAAGGTCACTGAACACACCCCCTGCAGTGACCTCGGCGCCGGCACCAGGGCCGCGCACAATGAGGGGCTGCACGTTGTATCGGTAGGTGACGAAAGAGATGATGTTGTCTGAACCCACTAGCTGCGTGAAGGCGTGTGTGCGCGGGTACTGGCGCAGCTCCACGCGGCCTTCTCTCTTGTCCATGTCCACCACGCCTACATAGCGCAGGACCTGGAGGTAGGGGGATGATAGGGCGAGAGGAAGAAAGGGAAAATAGGTAGAGCAGATGAATGCCATGGGGTACTGTCACGGTACCATGCGTCCCTCCCTCTTGTCCACCACGCCCATGTAGCGCAGGATTTGGTAGGAGATGAGAGGGAGGGAGGTCGCATTGAAGATAAGGGGAGAGCGAGAGTAGGGAGTGAGGAGAGGGATTGATAGAGAAGAGTTGGAGAAGGAGATGATGCTGTTGGAGGAAACTAGCTGCCCCGGCACCCAAGGAGCATTTGCAATGAGCAGGACCAGCATGACAGCACACGGTCGTCACACCCACACTCACCTCGCCCATCTCCTCAGCCGCCTTTCTCTTGGCCTCCATCTCATCGTCGAATTCAGGCAGCCGCTGCATGAACTCGTCCACACTGCCCACGTGCTGCCAGACAGGCGGGGAGGGAGAGAAGGGGGCACGGAGAGAGGAGGTGAGTATAATGCTTTAGAAGTTACATCCCGACTTCACTGCCTTTCTCTTATTCCCAGATATAGATACGTATGATTTGAACTCGGCCACGCTTAGGGTGCGGTGCATTTTGTAGAAATGGTGCTCAAACGGCCACTGTACTGCAGCGCATCATATCTTCTTGAGACAAAGCCGCACCGTCTTCAGCCTTTGAAAAACTACCGCTCTAAAGGCGTCTTACAGAGAAATGTTCCACAGCCTTAGTACCACGACCACACCATCATTACCAAACCTGTATAGCCTCGTTGCATCACCTGGATAGCCTCATTAACTTAACTAGATAGCCTCGCTATTATTTCTGGAGAGCCTGGTTACCATACTTGGAAAGCCTTGTTACCATGCCTGAAAAGCCTTGTTACCATGCCTGAAAAGCCTTGTTACCATGCCTGAAAAGCCTTGTTACCATGCCTGAAAAGCCTTGTTACCATGCCTGAAAAGCCTTGTTACCATGCCTGAAAAGCCTTGTTACCATGCCTGAAAAGCCTTGTTACCATGCCTGAAAAGCCTTGGTACTGTACCTGGAGAGCCTCGGGCACAAGGCTTTGGATGGGCACTTGGTCCAGCTCGAGGCGAAGGCCACACTCCCGAGCCAAGATGACCACCTGAGAGTGGGGAGAGGACAGGAATAAGAGGGGAGGCGGAGAGAGATGAGAGAGATGGGCCAGGGATAGATAAGTGAGATGGGCGGGGGGGAGAGAGATAAGTGAATGCGCGGGGGGGAGAGAGATAAGTGAATGCGCGGGGGGGGAGAGAGATAAGTGAATGCGCGGGGGGGAGAGAGATAAGTGAATGCGCGGGGGGGAGAGAGATAAGTGAGATGCGCGGGGGGGAGAGAGATAAGTGAGATGCGCAGGGGGGAGAGAGATAAGTGAGATGCGCGGGGGGGAGAGAGATAAGTGAGATGCGCGGGGGGGAGAGAAGGCAGTGAATAACAAAAATCCTGCTTTCTCAAACGACCTCCAAATGCCCATTCCATGAGATTTGTTCCACATCATCCCTAAGGTCACTCTCAGTGAACCCACCCTCTCAATGTTCCACCGTCCTCAACTTCTCAGTGATCCTCTTTTGACCTTCTCTTTCACGCCCCCTCGTTCTCACCTTCCTGGCCACATCCATGCCCTCCAGGTCGTCCCTGGGATCGGGCTCCGTGAACCCGTTGGCGCGTGCCTCTGCCACGGCCAATGCACCTACCAGACGCCCCTCACCTTCTACACCTCCTCTCCCAGCGCGCTCCTCTCACCTTCCAACGCTGCTCTCACCTTCCTTGCCACATCCATGCCCTCCAGGTCGTCCCTGGGATCAGGCTCCGTGAACCCGTTGGCGCGAGCCTCTGCCACGATCTGCGAGAATGGCTTGCTACCGTCGAAGCTGTTGAAGATGTAACTCAGCGTGCCACTGGTGGGGGGAAGCGGGGGAAAGGAAATGGATTGTGCTGTCAGAGAACAGTGGCAGCAATAACACTGTTCAGGCAGGGCAAGAATTGGTTTTGGTCCTGAAGATGCCTTGGATGCGGTGGATGTGGTCACCCGTGTCCAGCAGCCCCTTGCGCGTCGCCATTATGGGCAAACCTTGGAAGTGGCACAAAACCATACTGCAGCATGTATCCGTGCATGGACCAACGCACATGCCTCACCTGAAGATGCCTTCGATGCGGTGGATGTGGTCACCCGTGTTCAGCAGCCGCTTTGAGCGTCGCCATTATGGGCAGCTCTTGAAAGCCCGGCCCTACAACACACTGCTACGTGCACGCAAGCGCACCACTAGCACCCACCCCACCCGTATCCCTCTGCACACCTGAAGATGCCTTCGATGCGGTGGATGTGGTCACCCGTGTCCAGAAGTCCCTTGAGCGTCGCCACGATGGGCAGCCCGGCCCCCACGGTGGCCTCATACAGGTAGTGCGTGCAGAGCTCGCGCTGCAACTGACGGATCTTCAAGTACTGGAGAGGGCAAGGAAAGGGAAGGGCCGGGGGGAATGGATGAAGGAAGGACAAGGAAACGAGGAGAGAAGTGAGCATTGGTTGTCAATCCGGCTCCCACGGTGGCCTCATACAGGTAGTGCGTGCACAGCTCGCGCTGCAACTGACGAATCTTGAGGTACTGTGGTGGTGGAAGGAGGAGAGGACGGGAGGAGGGGAGGCATGGTGTCAGCCCGGCTCCCACGGTGGACTCGTACAGGTTGTGCGTGCACAGCTTGCGCTGCAGCTGGCGGATCTTGAGGTACTGAGGAGAGGAGATAGGTAGGAGTGGAGATAGGCAGGAGAGAAGGGGAAGCGAAGGGTCAGGAGTAGTAGAGAGGAGTGAGCAGTGGGGGCAGCCCGGCACCCACGGTGTCCTCGTACAGGAAGTGCGTGCACAGCTCGCGCTGCAGCTGGCGGACCTTGAGGTACTGGGGAAAGGAGGAGATGCGGAGAGGGGCGGGGGGTAAGGAAGGGAAGGAACTGGGTGCGGAGGAAGGAACAGCTCTGTGAGGGAGGGAGACGTGTTCCTAGCTGGCCTTCTTGCTGGGCATCTACTGCTGCCACAAAACTCTAGCGGATCAACCTCAAAGGTCGTCTCCAATGGTGCAACATTACTCAAGCCTACCAACCTCTCGACTTGCAGGTGGTTCAGAATTTTCAACCACAGCCTGCACTACCAAAGCTGGATATCACACCACATCTCAAGCCGAACCTCTTTGAGGGGTCCGGAGTTGGCCTTCTTGATGGGCGTGACGACATGAAGCCCCTCGGCAAGCCACGTGGGGTATTCATCCGCCACCTCGCTGCTGGCAGTGCAGTCCACCACCACCGTGTAGAGCAGCCCTTGGGAGCTCTACCCCCTAGCCCTTTCAGGTCTGGAGCATTGGCACTGGCCGTACCTCTTTGAGAGGCCCCGAGTTGGCCTTCTTGTTGGGCGTGACGACATGAAGCCCCTCAGCGAGCCACGTGGGGTATTTGTCCGCCACCTCGCTGCTGGCAGTGCAGTCCACCACCACCGTGTTGGGCAGCCCGTGATGCCCGTCCATCAGAGAGGCTTCAAATGCCACCATGTCTGCTGCCTCGCCTCTGCTCTCCAACTCCTCCCGCCAGTTGCTCAGGTGTACACCCCTGGGAGGGAATCACAGGGAGTGGGAGTGCGGAGGGGGGGCAGAGGAGTACATGAGGGCAGCCCGTGGTGCCCGTCCATCAGCGACGCCTCGAACGCCACCATGTCTGCTGCCTCGCCCCTCGTTTCCAGTTCTTCACGCCAGTTGCCCAGGTGCACGCCCCTTGGGGGGAAGCGTGGTGTGGAGAAGGAGGAGAGGGGAGGGATGGGCGGGGGATGGGAGGGGGATGGTAGGGGGATGGGAGGGGGAACAAGCAGGTTGAGGTGAATGGTGCTAGCAGGGCAGTGCAGCCCATCACCGCTCTGTAACCCCATGCACCGTGCCCGCCCATACTCTCTCATAAACTGCATTCCTATTACCTCACACCCCCGCGCATGATGAGACGATTTTGAGTCGACTGAAAAAACATTCCTGTTACCCCACGCCCTCACAGCACCCACCTGTTGTCAATGAGAATCTTACTCGCCCCAAAGATGCCCACCAAACCACACGCATGTCAAAATTGAACTCTTCTCAACCCGCCCCCTGCTCCCTGATTTGAAACGCGTCCTCCACACCCAGAGAAATCCCCATCGCCTTCAACTGTTATCGATGAGCATCTTATTCGAGCCAATGATGCCCACCACGCGCATGGCAACGCTAAACCCCTTCTTCAGCCTCGCCTTCTGGTCCCTGGCTTTAACTGCATCCTCAGCCTACCACGAAGCCCCCAACCCCCCTCCCCGCGCTCACCTGTTGCCAATGAGCATGAGATTGGCCCCGATGATGCCCACCACGCGCATGTCAATGTTGAAACTCCTTCAGACTCGCCCTCTGGTCGCTGATTTGATCCACCCTTGACACACCCAGAGCAGCACACTGACCCGCACCCCTCACCTGTTATCAATGAGCATCCTATTCGCCCCAATGATCCCCACCACGCGCATATCAATATTGAACTCCTTCTTCACACTCGCCCTCTGGTCCCGTAACTCAACCACCCTCCGGCTTCAGCCCAAGCACCCACAGTACCGCCCTCACCTGTTATCGATCAGCATCCTGTTCGCCCCGATGATGCCCACCACACGCATATCAATATTGAACTCCTTCTTCAGGCTCGCCCGCTGGTCCCTGATCTGATCCAGCAGCGTGCCCCCAATCAGCCCCGGGCCAATCAGAGCCACCGCCAGTGGAATCTGCGAGTGGTAGAACCGCCCGTGCGCCGCCCGCAGCGCCGCCACCGCATCACTCCGATCGACCACGACAGTGATATTATACTCGGAGCACCCCTGCGCAATCGCACGCACGTTCACCCGCGCCTTGGCCAGCGCCGCGAAGAGAGCAGCCGAGACCCCCGGAGTGCTGGCCATGCGCTGCCCGACGGCTGCGAGGACTGTGCAGTGCGGGATGACTTCGATATCGTGCACGCGATTTGATTCGATTGCGCGGCGGAAGGTGGTGCGCAGGGCCGCGGCGACCATGTCGGCCTCGGGTTCTGGGACGGCGAAGCAGACGGAGTGCTCGGAGGAGGCCTGCGAGATGGCGATGACGTTGGCCCCCACGTTCTTGACTGAGTTGAAGATCTGACTCGCGATACCCGGGACTCCTGCCATGCCCGTGCTGGGTGGGGCGAGAAAGGGGGGGGTAGAGGAGGGGGAGAGAGGAGGGGAAGGGAGAAGAGTGAAGGGAAAGGGGAGAAGGGGAAGGCAGCAAGGAGAGAAGAAGATTTGTTAGTAAGGCTGCCAGATGGTGTGGTTGGGAAGCACTCAGAGTGCTCCGAGGGGGCCTGTGAGTGCTTCCACGTTCTTGACTGAGTTGTGAGCCGCTCGTGCTCCTCGTCCAAGAAGGCGTCGTGGGAGCGGCCGGACGCACACTGGCACACTGGCACACTGGCACACTGGCACCCTGGCACACTGGCACACTGGCACACTGGCACACTGGCACACTGGCACACTGGCACACTGGCACACTGGCACCCTGGCACCCTGGCACACTGGCACATTGGCACACTGGCACACTGGCACACTGGCACACTGGCACACTGGCACACTGGCACACTGGCACACTGGCACACTGGCACACTGGCACACTGGCACACTGGCACACTGGCACCCTGGCACACTGGCACACTGGCACCCTGGCACACTGGCACCCTGGCACACTGGCACACTGGCACACTGGTACACTGGCACCCTGGCACACTGGCACCCTGGCACACTGGCACCCTGGCACACTGGCACACTGGCACCCTGGCACAATATGAGGCCTGAACCAAAGCGAACTACTCACCCAGCCACGTTGACGAGCGCCACGTTCTCAATGGTAGCGAAGCCCTTGACGACGGCGTCCAGCGGATCTGTGCCCTCCTCCAGCAGCTCGTTGTGCGCCGCCTCGTGCTCCTCGTCCGAGAAGGCGTCGTGGGAGCGGCCAATGCGCGTGCCGGGCGCCGTGGGGTTGAAGGCGTTGCGGATGAACATGGGGATGGCGTACTTCATCACCGGCAGGGTGGTGCGCGGGTGGAGGACGTTGGCTCCAAAATAAGACTGCAAACACAGGGGGAGAAGCAGGAAACAGGGTGGAATGCATTGCGGATGAACATGGGGATGGCGTACTTCATCACTGGGAGGGAGGTGCGCGGATGCAGCACGTTGGCTCCGAAGTAGGACTGTTGAGAGGGTGATTTGCAGGAGGGGAAAGGGAGGGCGGAAGTGGATGCTATGTAGTGTTGCTTGATACTACTAGGCTAGGTTATGTGATGGAATGCTGTATCACGCTGTGGTGTGGATCGTAGTGCCTCAGCATGCTATAACATGATCTTCTAGGTTTACCACCTCCAAGGTGCCACACCACATACCCCATACCCTATATCCCATAGCCCATACCCCATGCAACATGTCCGTGCCCCATGCAACATGTCCGTGCCCCATGCAACATGTCCGTGCCCCATGCAACATGTCCATGCCCCTTGCAACATGTCCATGCCCCATGCATCATGTCCGTGCCCCATGCATCATGTCCATGTCCCATGCATCATGTCCGTGCCCCGTGCATCATGTCCATGCCCCATGCATCATGTCCGTGCCCCATGCATCATGTCCGTGCCCCATGCATCATGTCCATGCCCCATGCATCATGTACGTGCCCCATGCATCATGTCCATGCCCCATGCATCATGTCCATGCCCCATGCATCATGTCCGTGCCCCATGCAACATGTCCATGCCCCATGCAACATGTCCGTGCCCCATGCAACATGTCCGTGCCCCATGCAACATGTCCGTGCCCCATGCAACATGTCCGTGCCCCATGCAACATGTCCGTGCCCCATGCAACATGTCCGTGCCCCATGCAGCATGTCCGTGCCCCATGCAACATGTCCGTGCCCCATGCAACATGTCCGTGCCCCATGCAGCATGTCCGTGCCCCATGCAACATGTCCATGCCCCATGCAACATGTCCGTGCCCCATGCAACATGTCCGTGCCCCATGCAACATGTCCGTGCCCCATGCAACATGTCCGTGCCCCATGCAACATGTCCGTGCCCCAAGCAACAGGTCCAAGCCCCATGCAACATGTCCATGCCCCATGCATCATGTTTGTGCCCCATGCATCATGTCCATGCCCCATGCATCATGTCCGTGCCCCATGCATCATGTCCATGCCCCATGCATCATGTCCGTGCCCCATGCCCCATGCTGATGCAACGTCTCACGGCTTACCAGCTCCCACGCCTCTTGGTAGGAGAGGTTCTTGAGAATCACAGCATCAGGCACTGGAGACGGAGCGAGTGGGGAGGAGGGGGCGAGAGGGGGAGAGGGGAAGAACAAGGAATGACGAGAGAGACAAGTGAGGGAGTAGGATATGCATGGTGGCTTACGGGGGAGTAATGCTGTAGCTCATGAGCTAAGAGGGCACCCCACCCTCTTCCTTCTCTCTCCCCCTTACACTCTCACACTCGCACACACCTTTCCTAGGGTCAGCGGAGTAAACCCCATCCACGCCCGTCCAGATGATCACCCTTTCCGCTCCCAGCAGTAACCCAAAGGGGATGACCCCAAACCCTTCCCTTCCCCCTCTCCCCAACGCCACTCACCTTTCCGGGGGTCAGCGGAGTACACGCCATCCACGTCCGTCCAGATGATCACTCTCCCAGCGCGCAGCAGCGACCCAAAGATGGCCGCAGACAGGTCACTGCCGTCCCTCTTGAGCGTGGTGGGCACGCCGTCCTCGGTGCGCGCAATGAACCCCGTCGCCACCACCAGGTCCGGGCCCCCGCCCTCGTAGTGCCCGTCATCGCCCCTGGCAGCGTACCAGGCGTGAAGGTTCTCCTCACAGCGCTCGTAGTTGGGGTCCACCTGGGGTGGGGTGATGGAGGAACACGGACACGGGGACGCCCAGGAAACAGTGATTGGGGGGCGGGGGTGGAGAGAGGAGGAAAAGGGGTGGTGGGCACGCCGTCCTCTCTGCGCGCAATGAACCCCGTCGCCACCACCAGGTCCGGGCCCCCGCCCTCGTAGTGCCCGTCATCGCCACGAGCGGCGTACCACGCGTGATACGGTACGTGGTACATGTATGAGGTGATTGATTGCCGCCCCACACATGGCTGCCATCCAGACTTGTACGGTGAACCTGACAGCTGCTTACAACTCTACCTGACTACGCAGTCCATAATTTACCAACTTACAAAATTTCCGCCCAGAACTGCACCTGGCTGCCGCCCAGAATATCCCATCGTACCTGACTGCCGCCCAGAATATCCCATCGTACCTGACTGCCGCCCCAAAATCAATCACCGTACCTGATTGCCGCCCTCTGCTGGGTGCACCACGAGCACGTCGCGCGCATCCATGAACGCCACCTTCTTGCCCGTCACCTGAAAAGGGGGGAGGAGGGGGGAGAGGAAGAAACCGAAAAATAAGGGGGGCCGCAGGAGGAACAGGCGATGGAGAGGGAGCGGACACAGCATTGGGGCGCACGACCTATTGCTCTGTGCACACAGCCTACCACACAATGAAGCCGCCAGCGCGTTGTGAGCGCATCACAGAAGAAGTAATCCCAGGATTCCACATTCTGTGCCTTGTGCAAGAACTCTCACCTTCTGCAGCGTGGCGGTGAGGATCATGGCGGACCAGAGCTCGCCGTGCCCCACGATGAAGTCCGTGAAGATCTCCGTCGAGGTCCCCGCTGGCAGCGGCACAGGAAGGGTAGAGGGAGGGAGGGGAGGGGATACAGGGGGAAAGCAGCGGATGAATATCTCCGAGGAGTCGCCCGGTGGGGAGAAGGGAAGAGAACCGGGGGGGATGGGGTAGGGGGAAGGGAGAAGGCGGAGGACAGGTGAGAGCGGGAGGGGAGTATAGAGGAGAACCATTGAACACGGGTTTTTACACGGCTTGAAGGTTCACTAGGTCCTTGTTGATATTTCCCATCCCTATCTTACAGTTCCCATGCCATCACCGCTCAGAAGCACTCACCAATGGAGAGTGCTGTCAGCAAGGCTTTAAGGTTGACCAGGCCGTCGTCGGTAAGATCCATATCCTTAACCCTATAACACTCACCGATGGAGATGGCTTTGAGCATGGCTTTAAGGTTGATCAGGTCCTCGTCGATGCGCTCCAGGATCTTCTTCGTCTCCTCGTCCTCCTCCCCCAGCAGCTCCGCCGCTGCCGCGCGGTGCTTCTCGCGCAGCTGCGCTATAAGCTCCGCCCACCCGCTCGAGTCTTTCGCGGCCGCCTTGTCCAATAACGAGTACAGAATGTTGGTGACCTTGGGAGTGCCGCCCATGGCCGACACGACGACGAAGCGACGCTCCGCGGGGTCGCTGGCGACGATGCGTGCGACGTTGAGGATTCGCTCGGCGGATCCCACGCACGTGCCGCCGAACTTGTGCACGGACCAGCTGCCGCCCTGCGGCATGGTCATGTCGGCCACCTCAAAGTCCGTGTTGATGTCCTCTGGAGGGACGGGAGAGGAAGGGCCCCACAAGGGAGAGGAAGGGCCCCACAAGGGAGAGGAAGGGCCCCACAAGGGAGAGGAAGGGCCCCACAAGGGAGAGGAAGGGCCCCACAAGGGAGCGGACGGCATGAGGCGAAACACAGACCCACGCACGTGCCGCCGAACTTGTGCACGGACCAGCTGCCGCCCTGCGGCATGGTCATATCTGTCACCTCGAGATCCGTGTTGATATCCTCTGGGAGGGACGCAGGTGTGGGAGAGAAGGGAACCGGTACAAAGAGAAACAGCTCTGCGATGATGCCCCCTGAGAGCCAACCGCGCGTTCGAATGTAAGAAAATCGGAGAAAATGGGAGAACTAGGGGTTCGACGGATATCCTGTCACTACTCGCTCTAATGGAAATCACTCCAAGACGCATTTTTTGAGAAAGCAAACCAGAATCTGGAGGTCTTGACTCTGAGGTGCTTAAAAAACACATTCTGAAGGCACATTCCGTGAGACGACCCTGCAGGTCTAGAAGAAAATTCGGCTTTGGACATGGCAGTGCGGCTTCTGTGGTGCGAACAGATGCTTTCGTTAGGGTGCGGCAGTAGCCCCACCTAGCCCTAGGTTACGGCATCTTTTCAAGGGAGACAAACGAAGGAATTCATGGACGAGGTACCGGTTGAAACCCGTGTCGTCTCAAGGAGGATCAGACGCTTACCGGCAATAGCGGCGCGAACCGCGGTAGAGGGACGCGATGCAGGCACAGGAGCAGCCCTAGCGGTACTGCATTGGAGGAGTGGGGAAGGCAGGTGAAATAGAGAGGATGTCAGAACTGTATTCTTGAGAAGCCCTAAAAAAAGACGCGATGCAGGCGCGGGAGCAACCGTAGCGGTACTGCATTTGTGGAATGGGAAAGGCAGGTCAGACCGAGGAGATGTCAGAAATCTCGAGAAGCAGGCCTACGTTGCCGGCACTACCTAGGTTCAGAGTGGGTATGTGCCCACGGAGTAAACCGGAGAAACACGGATAACAAGACAAGTTTGAATAGCGAATACGGAGTTGAAACACCTTAGTGATCGAAAAAGCAGGGGAGGATGAAGGGGGGAAAAGGTTAGGAAAATAAGGCCGTAAGAACATCCGCATTATCATCCGCATTCTCGGTTTCTTCCGAAGATCAGCCACATTCACCACACGAGCGACAGAAGAAGACATCCTGGGTGTAAAGCAAAACAGGATATGCTTCGCAGCAATGAAACACGCACGGTTACATTCTTTGCAAGCTGAGCGCGTCCTATACAGAATAAGGACAGTGGCGTGTTATGTTCAGCGCACTCACCCCTTGAGCTTCTGCTTCGCGGCAGACTTGTTCGTTTTAGTAGCCTTGAGTCCATTGAATAATGTCGCGCTTTCTTTAGCGGCGACCGTCGGGACGGATTTGACAGGCGTGAGTCCCAACACCTTGGCACACTGGAGAGCAGCCATGGTTTCGTGATGACCCCGCTATCTAAGATTTTCCAATGTGCAGCGACCTGGATCGGCAATGACAGATCGTATTGCTGTGCCGAGAGCTCTGCAAGTCACAGATGTAAGATCCTGTGACGAAGTTATTGACTGGAGGGTCTTCACAGAATCCAGAAGGACAAGAAACGCTTCAGTGGGTTTGTTGGTGTCGCCTTGTACTAGCAGCCTTGGGATCAGCAGAGTTGGGAATTTAGAACAACGAAGAAATCTGCTCGATGCGAAAACTGTGCGAAACGAATTGCCATGCTGCGTCGACTTCTCGTAACGGAAAGGAAACTCACGGCGACGAGGATTGACCCCGCATTCAGGACAGGTGAGCAAAGAGCTCCATCTTCACTGGATGAGGCTGAATGCCACGTTGGCTGCAGCCGAATCTGCACCCAGCTATTCGCGCGGGAAGGCCGCCTCGTACTTGAAGCTCTCTTTTCATTAGCTGCGACAAGCCACCGTTCGTTCGTAACTGGATGTTCGAAATCAAGTGCCAAATCAGCTCAATCGGACAATTTCGTAAACCAATCAAAGTATAAGCTCTCCGAGAAATGCTGGAAAGCACTCGGCGCCGAACAGGAACTGTTGATCAAGTCGCCTTCCACGGCAGCACGTGACAGGCTGGCGGAACTTCTGGATGTAGCCAGATCAGCAAAACCATCCAAAAATCCAGCGAAATTCACATGTGCTAGTCATGTGATTTGTTATTGTAACATCAACACTTCTTGATTACACTTCCCTAATTACATTCAAGGTAGCACACTCAATGCATATTGAGAAGTTCATGAGTATGTGTTTATATGCATGCTGTCATCATATACATTCCTTTGCAACAACAAAATCGTACAAGAAATGCAGTCAAGCACTTGTTCTCTTAACAATAGCACTATCGCCTACAGCCATCTTGACCTCTCTTGCTCCTTGCCCTTCTTTCCTGCTGGGTCGGCTAGTTTTGGCAGCAGGTGCACTAGTCGGGGATCTCTGGGTGGCAGACACAAGATACTCCTCCAACCTGAGCACATCCGCGCCCTCACTGGCGGACAAAAACGGAACAGTAGACTCGCACAAGGTGACAAACGCAGAGAACGGGGCGGCACGAATCCCAAGCGAAACCATATCCCTCGCAACCACTTCCCTCTCTCCCAATCTCTCCCCTCCAGCTCCCATCCTCCCACCACCACCACCGCCACCACTGCCGCCGCCGCCACCACCACCACCACCACCTCTCCCATTCCCCGCTCCTCCCAAAAGTGCTCGCCCCAAACTCTCCATCACCTTACCCAGATTTTCCACGTCCCTCTGCTTGCCACTCCCAAACCGCACCAAAGCAGCGCCACTATCAACTGGTTCGAGCTCCAAGGGAGTGTTACGGCCCAGGGCCCCCCGCAGGAGGAAGCGCAGACGCTGGTGGGGGAGGGAGGGGGGTAGGCCCCACAGGAAGAGCACGTTGGAACGATCCTCCTCTTCCCTGTCACTGCTGCTGCTGCCACTGGTGCTGCTGCTGCTGGTGGTGGTGTGCCTAATGGGGGAGAAGGAGGAGGAATATGAGGTTCCAAGCGAGAGAGTATCAGGGGAGGGGAGGAGGGGGGCAGCACGGGAGCCAATGGCAGTGTGCCCCGTGGCGAGGTCCAGGTGGATGTCCCGTGCACCCTTGCCTATGAGCGTCGTGATGTTGGATAGGCCAGCCACTGCTGTTTCTGCAGCTAAATGTGCTGATTCCGATGCTGCTGCTGATTGTTCTGATTCTGATGCTGCTCGCCCTGATGCTTGTGCTGAGACTGTAGGCGTTTCTGCCACGACTGCGCTTCCATCGCTGCTCTCTTCACTGTGCTCCCTGTCAGTCCCTATCCTCCCACCACTGACAGCCCCCTCTCCTCGCCTCCACCTCTCCACCACCCATCTCCTCCCTTCCCCCTCTCTCCCAAACTCACCTCTCCCCACCCCGTCTCCCTCCCCTTCTCCTTCTCCCCGTCTCCCTCTCCTCTCCTCTCTCCACCTCCCTGCCTCCTCCCTTGCAGCGGCAGCAGCAGCAGAAGCGGCAGGGGGGAGGGAGGAGAGGCGGTGGGGGGAGAGTCCAAGGCGGTGGCAGGCTTGGGCGAACACCACTCCTGTCATGAACGCATCGTATGCTGCCTCGTGCCTCGGATCCTGGCCGTTGGATGCGGAATATCTGACGGTCAAGATGGGTGGAGGGGATTTGGGAGTTGGTGGGGGACGGGATAGGGGGGGAAGAAACAGTGAGACCCAAGGCGAAGGGGAGGGAGGAGAGGCAGTGGGGGGGGGAGACCGAGGAGGTGGCAGGCTTGTGCGAACACCACTCCAGTCATGAACGCATCGTATGCTGCCTCGTGCCTTGGATCCTGGCCGTTGGATGAGGAATATCTGACGGTTGAGAGGGAGTGAGAGAGACAGAACTATGTGAATGTGCAGCGTGAGGGGTGGAGCGTAAGTGGAGGGCCCGGATGGCATCTCTGCAGTTATGGTGTGTGGAAATCTTTGGAGATGTCTCAAAACGCTACTTTTATCACATCTCTGCAGTTATGGTGTGTGGGAATATCTAGAAATGTCACAAAACGCGGCTAGAAAAAATGGGGGATAGCATGCCGTTAGTTCTAGGCAAACTATGTTAGAAGATTCACAAAGCACAGTTGAAAGAAGTGGGGGAAGGCATGGGGAATAGCATGCTGCCAGTTACAACACCTGGCCTCACTCTTCCTTCTTCTCTCATCCCCCCCTCTCTTCCTTGCGACCCTCTACTCTCAACCCCCCTTCCCCCCCCCACCCCCTCCCTCCTCACCTGCCAGCCTCGTGACTGAACCGCACCCATATGGGAACCCCATGAGATTGAAAATTGTTTCAGAAAATCTCCTTGCCACTACCGGCTGACAAGCTGGTTCCCTAGCGTGCTCATGACTGCCTGCGAGTGAGTTAACAGGATTACATTGGAGCAAACGGGAAACATACAACGAAGCAGCCTACACTAGGGTATCAGCTCTGCTATGTACAAGCCAACTTTGCTGCCCTAGCCTAGCGCCTCTATCATGCACACATCACATGGGCGAGGCTCGGGGTGCCGAGCCATATTTCCAAACCGCAGGCGCTCTGAATCTGCATGGGCTCCAGCGCACGCCCTTCGCCAGCTGCAAGCTTGGCGTGCATGTTCAACTGCAGCTTTTGCCACCTGTCGGCTGTGCTGCACTTATTCGCGTCAACAGCTCTCGCCCTGCACAGGACACAAACGAAACATGCACCACCCCGACTCATACACCCACCATTCTCATGCAAACTTTCTTGAGCGTTATTTACAATTATGTACACCCACCCTTCTTCCCTCCGCACTTGTAGATTCAGCTTCTGCCACATCCTCCCACTCTCCCTGCTGCCAACTCTTGGCGCTGTCTCGGTTCCTATGCGGCCCTCCTGGCTACATAAACCGCGACAGCTGTCGGAAATGCTCTGTATGGCCCCTTTCTCCTGACTCCCACCGACCACGCCTGTAGACCCCTGAGTCTCCCTTCCCCCTTCCACTTGTCTCTTCTTGGACTCTTCCCCCCCCCCTTACTTTCTCTTGCTCTTGCTCTGGGGTACTACCGACGCCCTAACTGCTGTATACTGTGTGCCGTGTGGCAGCGTTCCATCATGACATCTCACTTGCCCCCTCTGGAACAGACTAGGGCTCCTGCTGGTTCTGATCCAGACCACTCAAACTCCTACATCGCGCCCTTGCTGTGTTCGTGGTGTGGTCCTGGACCCTCCTGCCCTGCTGATTCTCCAGCACCACCACTCCAGACTCTCGGACTTCTACCACTCTCCAGCGTTCCTCGCTGAGGCCACGGTCTAACGTGTGCTGCCGCGCCGTCCTGCGATACACTTCCTGCCCTTCCTGCAGCTGCCCTCCACTTGCTGGCCTCTGCCCCCCGAGCCTCTGCTGGTACCGATGCGCGTCTCGCAGCTGAGCCACATGAAGATTCTCTAACGCTGAAGGCAGAAGCGCTCGTAGGTAATCCCCCTTGGCCTTGGCCAGTGCTGCCCACAACTCTGGGGTTCCTGCTGTCACCACATCAGTCAACACTTTGGGCGCCCTTACCGGCAGGATCGGCTCTCTGCCATAGAGCAGATAGTAAGGGGACACGTCTCGCAGCGCCGCCTGCTTGCTGAACCGGTACCCCGCAGCAACCCAGTGCAGATCCTCATCCCAGCTGCGCTTGTGTGCCTCTCCATATGCCCGTAGCCCTCGCTTGAGTGTCTGCACCATCCGCTCTGTGAGGCCATCAGCTTGTGGATGATACCGGGAGGTCCTTCTGTGCGTGACCCGATAACTGCCAGCGCCTTGTCAAACTCCCCCCGAAACTCCGTGCCTTGATCCGTGAGCACTTCACCACATGCCCCCATCCTGGTGAGCACTTGCTCCGTGAAGGCCTCCGTGACGAGTGCCGCGCTCTTACTGCTAAGAGCGCGCACCTCCACCCACTTACTGACATGCTCTATCATGACCAAAATGTACCGCTTGCCTCGCCGGCTGAGGGGCAATTCCCCCGCCAAATCCAAGGACCATCTGTAGCCCAACCCGCGGATGGGGAGCGACTGTAGCTCTTGCTGGCTCTTCTCCAACTGGGCCTTATTGCGGTCGCAAGCCTCACATTGCGCCACCCGTTCCTTAATCTGTCGCGCCATGCCTGCCCACCACCAGCCCGTGTTGACCAGCTGGGTTGTTCTGACGTGCCCAAAGTGCCCCAACTGTCGGTGCACCCTGTCAATGATGCCTTCTCGATCCGCTGGCGCAGGCACCAGCTTCCACCCCTCTCTGGTCCTCAGCTGTACCTGCCCCGCATACCACCTGTAGTGCTGTCCCCTTGCCCGTGCTCTCTCCGAGGCAGGCTCTTCTGCCTCCGTCTCTCCCCGCAGCCACCTGAGAGTTTCTTCGTCCTGCCATATGTCGGCCGCTCCGCGCTGCTCCTGACGCTGCTCCCCCTGCCTTTCTGCTTCTCTTGCCAGAGCCACGAGCCCGGCCACTGGCTCTGCCGCCGGCGGGCTACGCGATAGCCCATCCACGTGCTGAAGCGTCCGGCCTGGCCTGTGCTTCACCACGAAATCGAATTCCTGCAACCGCATGGCCCACCGCGCGTTGCGGCCTGTCAGCGTATGATTAGTCATTAGCCACAGCAGCGGCTGGTGGTCCGTCACCAGTGTGAACTCGCGCCCTTGCAGGTACACTCGGAAATGCGTCACCGCCCAAACCGCCGCCAACCCTTCTCCCTCGTAGGAGCTGTAGTTTGCCTCCGCTGCGTTGCAGCTGCGACTCTCAAAGGCCACCACCCTCTCCCCCTGCTCAGTCTGTTGGCTGAGCACGGCTCCCATGCCTGCGCTGCTCCAGTCAGTGTACAGCACGAATCTGGCCTCTAGCATCGGCAGCAGAAGCACCGGTCCCGACTTCACGGCTTCCAGCAGGTCCCGTAGTGCCCCCTGCTCGGCCTCTCCCCACTTCCAGGCTACGTCCTCCCGCAGCAGCCTATTCAACAGAGCCGCCCGCCTACTAAAGTTCGGCACGAACTTACGGTAGTAATTCAAGAAGCCCAGAATTGCCCTCAGCGCGGAGCGACCACTCGGGGTCGCCAGGTTGTCCAGCACTGCGACCTTCGCTTGCTGAATGGTCATCTGGCCTCCACCCACTTCAAAGCCCAGATACCGCACCGTATTCGTGCCGAAACGGCACTTCTTGGGGTGGCATGTGAGTCCGGCTCCCCTGATGGCTTCCAAGACTTGCTGCACATCCTTCACGTGCTGCTCGGGCGTTGAGCTGAACACAACTACGTCGTCTATGTAGCAGGCCGCGCAGTGCTGCAACGCGCGCAGCACCCGGTCCATTGCTTTCTGGAACACTGCCGACGCGTTCTTTAGTCCGAAAGGCATGAACAACCATTCGTACAGTCCGTCCGGCCCATGAAAAGCTGTCTTCCTCACATCCGCCTCCTTGATTCGTATCTGATTAAATCCCTGGCGAAGATCCAGCGTGCTGAAGATCGCTGCCCCCTGCAACTTGTCGAATATCTCCTCTGGCGTAGGCATGTGATAGCGATTCGCCACCGTCAGCTTATTGAGGTCCCTGTAATCTCCGCACATGCGTCGCGACAGCACTTCTCCTGTAAGTTCTTTCCTCGCGGCCACCACGGTGGCAGCCGCGTACTCCGACTCAGAGGGCCTGATGAGTCCTGCCTCCAGCAATTCCCGACACTTCTCTCTGCACATATCAAGATCTCCTGGGCTCATGCGGCGTTTGCGCTGGTACACCGGCACCTCCTCCGTCAGCCGAATCTCCATCTCTCCCCCGTTGTATTTGCCGAGCTCCTGCAGTGTGAAGGCAAATGCCTGTCGGAGCCTCCTCACCACGCTCCACATCTGCTCCCGCAGGTCTCCCTTCAACCCTTCTCCTACTTCCCATGCTCCATCCTCTTCTGCCGCTGGTCGGACTGCCGCTGTGCTTCCCCCTCCTTCGGTCTCGGCTTCCGGTTCCGACCCCGCCCCTGGCTCCTGCTGCCCCCTGCTTGTGTCTGCCACCCCAGCCCCGTTTGGTGACATCGGCTCGCCGGCTGCCACTGCTTCTCTTCTTGCCGGCAAAACTTCCAGCGCCATTAGAGCCCAACCTCGCTCTCTCTGCTGCTGCCTTTCCACCTGCAGGTCCAAGAGCCGCTGTTCCGCCCTCTGCTGGCTGGCGCGCACCTCTTCTACGCTCGCATCCCCTGGCCCTCCCACTTCCACTTCCATCTCCAGCTGCTTGGAGGCCAGGTGCATCTGTATCACGTGCATCAGCCAATGCACCGCCTCCACGTCCATTGCTCGCCCGAGCGCTTCCCTCCGCTTGGCTTCTTCCACTCCTGGTGCTGCCGTGGCGTCAGGGACGAACCCCATCGCCAGCTCTCGCTCCCTGGCCGAGGGCTCTTCCCACTGATCCTTCAGCCGGTCATACACCATGCCTGGGCCCGGCAACCCTTCGCTCCACACGAAGCCATGGGCCTGGTGGTGCGCCATCAGGGTGGGCCAGGCTTCTCTCGGCAGCCCGGGCTCATTGCACTGGAACTGACTTGGGTGATCGGGCTTTGTCACCGGCGCTGGCTCCCGATGCGTCTCCAGGATGTCCTCCACGGGGCGTGGCGAGGGCCTCTCGGTCTGTATGAGCTCCCATCTGAGCCTCCCTTCTGACACCCCATTCTGCCAATACCGTCTAACCCTGTGCGCGTAAGACCCTTGCTGTACCGCATCCCATGCCACTCCCGGTCCCAGCGCTCCCGCCACCACTTCTAGCATTCGACGCACCGGCTCCCTACAGTCAGTCGAAAAGTCAGGGTTTTCCAGGATGTACAAGTACTCCCCGTGCTGCTGGTATATCAGCTTCATGACCCGCAGTAACTCCGCGAAGAGCGTGGACCGTGGGTCATCCAATCCTTTGCCCTTCCCAGCCCTCGACACTCCCTGACACTCCCAACCTGCCACCAGCAGATCCACTCGTCCCCACTGTCGCACGTCCTCTGCCGCCACCTCCCTAATATCGTAGAGTGATTCTTCTTCCGCCTCTGCTTCTACCCCCAACATCAGCTGAGCCGGGTAGATCCCTCTTAGCTTCCTTGCGTGGTTGAAGGCCATCCTGCGCACCACAGGATCTATCTCCACTAGTATCCACTTCTGTACTCTGCATCCCGCCTTTAGTGCTGCAGCCAGCCCCGTTCCGATTCCTCCGAACAGCTCGACAATGGTAATTGGTTCCTGCAGGCGCGTCAGATCTGTCAGCCTTGGGGGCAGCGCCAAGGACCGCTCGGTCCTTTCTTCTTCCGCTTTGCGCGTCTCCTGCTCCAGCACGTATTGCTTCCAGGACCAATCTTCGATCTGCTCTTCCACTTGCGCCATACGCACTCGAAAGGCTTCCCTCGGCTCGCGTCTCACGAAGTGCACAGGCAGGGTGCCTACGGGCCCATCATTCCTCCAGTACTGAGTCCGGTAGAGGACCTTCTCCTGCCAGGTGCAGATGGTGGCTCCCACACGATACAACAGCTCCATGCCTATCAGCAAATCAAAATCCTCTGACGGCGATATGCCGCACCGCATCCGGATTCGACATTCGTCCTTGGTGCCCGGCTGCACGATCACTTCCACTGGCATGCGGGTGCAGGGCATCCACTTCGGCTCTCCTCCTTCTGCCGTCATCACCAGGATTCCCCGTGTAATCAGCCGGTTCGGCAGGTCTAGTTCCAGCCTCTGAGCCAAGCCTTTCCCCAGGAGGATATGATGCGCTCCTGTGTCGATGATCGCTTGCGCCACCGTCACCCCTCCCACCGTGATTGCCCCCTTTTCGATTGTCAGCACCGATGGCTGACACACCATGCGCTCTTTGGGATGTCTTTCTGATGTCATTTCTTGCTCTGGTTCGGCCGCGTACCCACGGAACCGCCTGACCCTCGGGGCGGGCAGCTCTCTCCTTTCCCCTTGATCACTCCTGAGCACTATCTCTTCTCGCTGCCGTGGCACCCGCACCACGAGCACAAACTCTGCTTCGCTACTCCCCTCCTCCTCCTCTCTCGCCAACATGGCGGTCTCCTTGTGAGCCGAACCTTCCAGCTCCCTGATCCGTGCTTGCAGCACCAGCAGCTGCGCCTCCAAGTCCTTCTCGTTTCTGGGGCCCGCCGATCCTGGTCTCCGACTGTAGCAATCAGATGTCCGATGTCCTCGCCTGCCGCAGTTCTCACAGGTGGGGACTTCTGGACACTCCCGTCGCATGTGCCCTTCCTTCTGGCAGTGATCACACCTTGGCGGCCTGCTGCAATCCCGCTGTAGATGCCCCTCCAGCCCGCACCGATGACACCTGCGCGTCTCCGCCTCCCGTGCGGCACGTCTACTGGAGGCTTCTCCGGTTGCCACGGCCGCCCAAGCCGACCCCCGTCGTCCCTCGGCCTGCATACCGCCTCTCTCCATCTCATATAGGCGGAGTCCCAGCTCGTATTTCTTCGCCAGCTCATACGCGTACTCCAGCGTCGCCGATGGTCCCCTCTCAAACACCCTTCCTCGTACATCCCCGGCCACCCGCTCGTCCAGGCAGTTGAGGAATTTGGAGACCAGCCTCCACTCATCCCTGCACTCCATGTCCGCCGCCAGCTCGCGCAGTCTGCCGTACGTTGCTAGCAGAGATTCTCCCGTCTTCCTTTTGAACGACGCGAACTCCCTCATGCGCTCCGGCGTCTGTACTGGGAAGTGGCGCTTCAGCGTGTCGAAAAACTGTGCCACTACATCCCAGGTCACTCCGCTGGCTTGTGCCGGCTCACTCAGCATGCGCTCTAGCTCCATGCCATACGCGGTCTCCGCTTCTCCTGTCACGGTGTTCGAGAGTCCCCGGAAGAAGTCTTCTGGCTCCAGGCCGTCCTTCATCCAGCGATACTGCGCGTTGCGGATCTGCATCATGTAATTCTTCAGACTGCTGCCCACGCCTGGCGTGCCTGCGAAGCGCTCGGGCACCTCTATCTTGGGCAGCGCAGCGTACTTCACGTTGCCCGGGCGTGCTACCTCCGTCACTTGATGCTCTGACAAGGAGAGACGCCTCAAGCGCCCGAGCAGCTCGCCGTCGGTACTGCCCTCTCCTTGCGCGTTAGCCGCGCGCGACGGCGACCCTCCCGTGGTGGCTTCCACCCGCGGTCTCCCCGTCGAGCTCTCTCTCGTGTCCCGACCCTCGCTCGGCAGGTCATCCATGCTGTGCCTCCGATGCGGTGCCGTGTAGGCCTCCCTGCGGGCGCCGTCTTCCGTCTCGCCCGCCTGCGTCCTTTTCTCGCTCCCCGTGACTTCTCCTGCACGCCATCCTGGCGTCGCCATCGTCGCCAATTCTGGCGGCCGCTCGTAACGCTTCCCAGAGCGTGTCTGCATGCGCTGTCCAAGGCGCTTTACTCCGGAGATTTCCTTCGTTGTATGTCAAAAAATCTCCTTGCCACTACCGGCTGACAAGCTGGTTCCCTAGCGTGCTCATGACTGCCTGCGAGTGAGTTAACAGGATTACATTGGAGCAAACGGGAAACATACAACGAAGCAGCCTACACTAGGGTATCAGCTCTGCTATGTACAAGCCAGCTTTGCTGCCCTAGCCTAGCGCCTCTATCATGCACACATCACATGGGCGAGGCTCGGGGTGCCGAGCCATATTTCCAAACCGCAGGCGCTCTGAATCTGCATGGGCTCCAGCGCACGCCCTTCGCCAGCTGCAAGCTTGGCGTGCATGTTCAACTGCAGCTTTTGCCACCTGTCGGCTGTGCTGCACTTATTCGCGTCAACAGCTCTCGCCCTGCACAGGACACAAACGAAACATGCACCACCCCGACTCATACACCCACCATTCTCATGCAAACTTTCTTGAGCGTTATTTACAATTATGTACACCCACCCTTCTTCCCTCCGCACTTGTAGATTCAGCTTCTGCCACATCCTCCCACTCTCCCTGCTGCCAACTCTTGGCGCTGTCTCGGTTCCTATGCGGCCCTCCTGGCTACATAAACCGCGACAGTCTCTACTGCTCCACTCTCCCCTCCTCTCTCCCCTCCTTTCTCCCCCTCTTCTCTTCCCCCTCTCCCTTCTCACCTGGCAGCCTCATGACTGAAATGCACTCGCATGGGCGCAGAGTTGACTTTTGAGTTGACTCAAAAGTCCACTCGTTACAATGCCATTTTAAGGTCAACTCGCCTCCCTCCCTTCTCCCCCTCTTCTCTTCCCCCCCTCCCTCTCTCACCTGGCAGCCTCATGACTGAAATGCACTCGCATGGGCGCCCCATCCACAAACGGAAGGTTCCTGGAAGTATCATACAGAGCGCCGAGCGACGCCCGCCTGTTGGTGCTCGCAGCTTCCTGGAAGGTCCAAGGTCAAGGGAAGAAGAGAGGGAGGCGGTTGGTCGGATTGGAGACAAGGGAAGAGAATAAATTCGCTTTGCGACGCCTACTTTTGAGACATCTAAAATCTCAGAACCTTGAGACGCCTAGAAATGAATCATTTCACGCCACTAGCAGCTTCCTCTTACAACGTCAAAGAGAGACAGGAAGGCGGTCGGTTAGAGGCAAGGGAAGACACATAGAGACTTGTGAGCCAACTCAGCAGTCGCCAAGGGCAGAGGAAACGGAGGTCGATTGGACACGAGTGCCAACACGTTCTTGTACCACCTGCATTGCATTCCACCATTTCAAACCGTGTCTCACCCCCTTTGAGGTGCCTCAAAAGTCCGAACACCAGCATCTAGGTGACTTTTGAGTCGACTCAAAAGTCACCTTGTACCACCTGCATTGCATTCCACCATTTGAAACCGCGTCTCACACCCTTTCAGGAGCCTCAAATGTCGTCTCGTGGAGACGAGACGAACACCAGCATATTTTTGTACCACCTGCGTTTCACCATTTCAAGCCACGTCTCAAACCTGCTGCAAACACACCTGTTCTAGAAGCGAGGCAGCAGCAAGGCAACTGGTGTCAAAGAGAGCAGGGAAGAGCCGGCAGACTTCGCGAGAGAAGAGCGACGGGGAGGGCGGCACATGACCCACAAACTTGTGCAGAATGTGAGCGAGGTCTGCGTGGGTGGGGGACGGGTAAGATGGGGACGGATGAAATCAGTGGGAGGACGGCGATGCTGTAGGTGAGAGGGAGGGCGGCACATGGCCCACAAACTTGTGCAGAATGTGGGCGAGGTCTGCATGGGATCATAGACAAGAGGGAATGTAAGGGTGTAATTAGTGAGGGCGAGAATGCTGTGTGTTTGAATGGAAGGGAAGGCAGGGAGGGCGGCACACAGCCCACAAACTTGTGGAGAACGTGAGAGAGATCTGCGGGTGTAGGGCTGGAAAAATCGGGGAGGAAGGACGGTAACCCAAGCCTCATTTTGGAGTGGAGGACGACGATGGTGATGCTGAGAGGTAGGGCGGCACGCAACACACGAACTGGTGGAGAATGCGAGAGAGGTGTGGGTGGGTATGTAGAAGAACAAGACAGGGACGCGAGTATGCTGAATGAACTGGGTGTTTGAGAGGGCGGTCTACATTCGGCCCACAAACTTGTGGAGAAAGTTAGAGAGATCTGGGTGGGTGTGAGGCGGGAGGGAAGGGGAGGACATGCACAGAGGGGAGGGTGAAGATGTAGTGCTGAGAGCGACGGTGGGCGAAGGAGAGGCGTGTCTGTGATAATGTGTGTGTGGGTGGGAGTGTGTGTGTGCGGGAGTGTGTGTGTGGGAGTGTGTGTGTGCGGGAGTGTGTGTGTGGTAGTGTGTCTGTGGTAGTGTGTGTGCGGTAGTGTGTGTGTGGTAGTGTGTGTGCGGTAGTGTGTGTGTGGTAGTGTGTGTGTGGTAGTGTGTGTGTGGTAGTGTGTGTGTGGTAGTGTGTGTGTGGTAGTGTGTGTGTGGTAGTGTGTGTGTGGTAGTGTGTGTGTGGTACTGTGTGCATGAGAACCTACCAAGGAAGCAAGAGTGCACCACGCGCTGTGTTCCCTGACACGTCAGAACATGGGCGTCCACTCCACCACTCGCCTCACCCATAGGGCACTCCACTATTGGAACGCCACTGCAACCTACCCCATGACTATTGGAACGCCACTGCAACCTACCCCATGACTATTGGAACGCCACTGCAACCTACCCCATGACTATTGGAACGCCACTGCAACCTACCCCATGACTGTTGGAACGCCTCAAAACACCTACCAAGGAAGCAGGAGTGCGCCACAAGCGGCTTATCCTGGCACGCCAGAGACAAGGCATCCACCACTCGCCTCACCCCCACTGCTCTGCGCACCACTGCTGCTGCTCCCGCCTGCCGCAGCTCCAGTAGCCGCTTCTGCAGGCAGAGCAGCACACAGAGGAAAGGAAACACGGGGGACAACATGCGTGGTTCACCCTTGCATGGTAGAGCCAGCAAAGGCGTCCACCACTCGCTTCACCTTCACTGCTCTGCGCACCACTGCTGCTGCTCCCGCCTGCCGCAACTCCAGTAGCCGCTTCTACAGAGACACACACAGGAGGAGCGGGGGGGGGGGGGAACATGGCACACGGTGCATGTTTTATTATCCTGGCATGGTAGAGCCAGCAAAGGCACCCACTACTCGCCTCACCCCTACTGCTCTGCGCACCACTGCTGCTGCTGCCTGCCTGCCGTAGCTCCAGCTGAGGCAACAACATGCAGTGCAGTGGGGAGGAAAGCAAGCATTCAGAGCATGGGAGCGTTGACGGAATGTGTGCGTTACTGCAGGTGCAGTGAAATGGAGAATGGTGACATGACAAAGGGAGTGAGTTACTACTTTCCCTCCCTGACAGTCCCTCACTGCAGTCAGTCCCCCTCCCCTTGCCCATTTTTCAGTCGTCTAAAAGACATGCGCATATATATACATATAAATACATATATATATGTACATACATATATACAAATCAATATGCGCATATATGTTATATTTATGATGTGTACTCACCTGCACCCTCTCAGCCTCCTCCTTTGATTTGCACAGGAAGAGCCGAACTTTCTTGTACGCACCAATCCGCTCCTCATGCGACGCCAGATAGGGGTGCTTATGACGAATTGCCTGTAATTGAAGGCCCAGGCATTCGTCAAAAAAAAGGGGGGGGGGGAGGGGGGGGAGAAGGGAAAGATGGCGCAAGGAAGTGAAGTGATAACCAGGCAGTTTTTATGTTGACCAAAACATGTCAGAGTGATTGAAAATGTCAGCAAACGGAAAAGGAAATGTATCACGCAAAGTAGGTGGCAGAGCTTATGAAGTGCCTCCAGCAGAACTCGTGTTGAAAACGATGTGGCAAGGCATCGGATGGCATCCTCCCTCGAAGCTCTTGAAGAGGCGAAACAAGAGATGCAGGAGCAGGAAGGGAAGATTCAGAAGCAGGAAGAGTAGCTTCAGGAGCTTCGAGGGTGGATGGCTAAAGAGGAGGAGGGGAGCTGCTGATCCATCCTCCCTCGAACTCCTGAAGCTGCTCTTCCTGCTCCCGGATCTTCCCTTCCTGCACCTTCATCTCTTGTTCCGCCTCTTTCGCTGCTCTTGTTGATGGCCTGTTGTTGACAACCAATAGCGTGGCATGGCATGGCATGGCATATCATACCAAGGTACATCACCTCACCTGGTCGGCAGCATGGCAGTTAAATGCGTCGTTGATTCGAAGAGAGAGCCACGGCCTCTTCCCAACCACTGCTGCTGCTGCTCCCATCCTCTCCCAAGGAATGGCATGGCCTGGCATGACATGGCATGGAATGTCATACCAAGGCACACAGCACCTCACCTGGTCGGCAGCGTGACAGTTGAAGGCATCATTTATTCGAAGAGAGAGCCACGGCCTCTTCCCAACCACTGCTGCTAACGCAGGCTGTAAACCACTGCTGCTGCTGCTCCCGTCCCCTCCCACACCCCTTACCGCAGCCTCCCGTGAAAATCCCTCTGGACCCTCCCCAAGCACACTACTCGCAACGCCCTTTGCCAAAGGCTGCTCCTCCTGCTGCTCCTGCTCCACCTCCTGTGCTGCTGCTCTGAGTTGCGCGAGCCACAGGTCAACGCGGGCCAGGCTCTTCACTGCAAACTGCACGCCGGGGAATGGCGGGCTTGACGGGTCGCTCCTGTCGCTGCTGTCCCGCCAGCTGTACCTGCTTGTGCTGCTGGTGCTTGTGCTGAATTGCGTGTGATTGGTGGGCTGTGCCACGTCAGCAGCTCCTTTTTGGCTGGGGCCTACGGTTACATTGGTGGCTGTTGCTGATGGGGGAGGGATCTCGAGAAAATTCCATGCGGCTTCCTCTTGCTCGTAGGACAGGTACGAGATTCCTGCGGAAATGGACGGATGAGATTGCATCAGAGGTTCGGGGATGGGATGGGGAACGGCACGGATTCATGCATGAATTCATGGATGCATGGAGGCATGACCATCATACTCACTCACAAAAACCATCACCCACCATGCTCCACCCATCAGCACCACCACCCACCATGGTGCACCCAGGAGTTGAAGTCGAGGTGGTGTGCTGCCAGGAAATCTAATGAGGATGGCTGGCACTGGAAGGAATGAATCACAGGCACCTCACACCACACCACCACCCCCGACCACTCATCACCCATCCCCCCACCCACCACCCACCGCCACCCACCGTGCTGCACCCAGGAGTTGAAGTCGAGGTGGTGTGCTGCCAGGAACTCCAACGAGGACGGCTGGCACTGGAAGGAGAGTGCCGGCACGCCCTTAAATCCCGGGATCTCCGACCGGGGGAACACCTTGAAGTTGAACCTGGATACAGGGGACGGGGAAGGGGTGGGGTAGTGGTGGATGGGGGAGGCTCTAAAGAGGACGGCTTGCTGTTGCTGCGACCTTGACTAGCAAGGCAAAGGGAATCTAACTCACGGTGAACAGTAAATTCCCTTTGCTGCTCATCCCACTTGAACATGCACACACGCCTAGTTACAATACATCACAGTGAACCAGACAGAAACACGACTCACGGGTGAACGATAAACTCTTTCCTCCCTTGGTCCCACTTGAAAATGCACACGCCTAGCTGCATCACTGCAAACCGCATGGCGCTGTGCCACCCGTGCAGGCTCTCACTCACACGGGTACTGCTTACTTGAACATGCTCACGCTCAGGTGCATCATGCATCAAATTATCCGGGTACTCACTTGAACGAGATTATACAAGGATGCTTACGGGTGAACGATGAACTCTTTCCTCCCTTGGTCCCACTTGAACGTGCACACGCCCAGCTGCATAACTGCGAATTGCATCGCGCTGTGCCGCCCGTGTAGGAACCGCGTTGCTACAGTGTCCGAATGCAACGGTCGCCTGAACGACCCCGAATCCAGACCGCTCATTTCCAGATCCAGACAAACGAAGTCAGCCGCTTGCAGCGCGGGTTGGAATTGGGTTTCAAACACTTCCTCAAAGTTCTCGCGGGTTACCGAGGCTACGGTCAGGTTCGGAGGCAGGTCCGGGGGCTGGTGCCGAGGCTCGGGTTTGGGTTGTGCCGAGCCTGGCAGATGGATGGTGGAGCTGCTACGGCGACCAGCGGCTATTGCCGGGATATCCGGCGGAATTTGCGCTGGTACGTTTGTGTCGATGCGGAAGCGCGTCCCCCAGAGGAAGGAGCGAAGAAACTTCCTCGGGGATGTGTGTGCGGGTGACGTGGAATAGGTGATCTGCCTGAGTGATGCTATCGAGGGACGATGCCGGAAGTGTGACAATGTTGAATTAACGGAGCGGCTGGCGTGAAACCGCGATGAGGAAGGTGGCTTCGTGAGATATGAGCTACTAACCGGTTTACCGGCTATCATGGAAAATGCGGCGCGGTGAAGCTTAAAGCGCTGATAGAGTGTACTTGGAGAGCTGGAGGCGTAAGTCGAGGGCACTGAAGTAAAGACAGGTGATGACGTAAGCGAGTGGCACACGATTAAAGACCGCGAGGCGACTAAAGCAGGAAAAGTGATTAAAGACCCAGTGGTCAGTCGACTGCCGATAGCCCCATCACAGGAAGCACGAGCAAATAAGGCCCGCGACAATATCGAGGCGCGAGAGGATTTTGATATCGGGGCACGTGAGGCCGAGAGAGAGCACGCCATCACTCCGAGCGCCTTCAAGCCTCCAAGAACCGGCCTGATCCTCTGAAACTCCTCACATCGCCAGCTGGGTTGCTCTCCGCGCCTTAGACACTAGCAATAGGCCCATCTGTGGCACATGGATCTCCAAGAGACCACGGGGGAATGGCTCCAGACCAGAACAGACGGGTGGCACTAGTAAAATAGGATATCGAAAAAATATAATGCGACCGATTATGAGCTTCGTTACTGCATACAGTTATAAAAGAATTTGAAGTCATACTGTGTGAGTCTTATCATGTTTCTAAGTTCAGTACAGTTCAGACTCGCCTACCAATTAGGGCGTGTAAAATCCCTGCGCATTTGCGAAAAATGGGTTTGGCCGGGATTTTGTTGACCAAAATGGCCGACATTTTTTTCGCACAAAGCGATCAGATGGCCGAATGAAAGTCAACCAATAAGCAGCCATAATATACAGTTCAGCAAAGTTTACAATTTTGTTGGCCGATTTGCAGGCCGACTCCAGAAAATTGTAAACTTTCAAATGGCCGAAGTGCGCGACAGAGTCGCAAACTTGTACCCGATACTGGAACGCACAACTACTTCACTCATGACTAGAGTCTGAGTGTAGGTTTTGCGGTTCCGTTCACACACGGCTCTGCGAGTCACATTTAGCCAAGTGCCAATGCCTTGTCTCCACTACAAAAGGAAACCGCAAAAAAAGTCCTCACTAAGCCTTGCAATGGCTACCACTTTCACTCCGCTTGCAACCCGCCAGCTAGCCACAGGCCTGGTACAGGCTGCCCTTGTACCAAGGATCACCACCATGCCGTTACTCGTCCCCCCGCTAATGGAATACGCCGACGACTCAGAGTACCAGATGTTCTGGCGTCGGGACCGTCAGATCCAACGCGCACGATGGATGGATCGGTTCTTACACCTAGCGCCCGAACACACGTACAAGGCGTTGCGGGTCGAAGGAAATGTTTTTGGTTACCTTTGCAAGGCGTGGGCAACACATCTCATCTCCACGGGCAAAAAGGCGTGCAATTTCACGCTCCAGATTGCCACGGTGCTCGCCAGGTTCGGAAGTGGCATGACGTACCTGGAGCTCGGGCTCATGTTCGGATTCAGTCAAACGCGTGTTCACCAAGTGTGCTAGGCGTGGATTAACTTCAACATCGACTAATTAATGGAACAATGAGTGACTTGGCCCGACGAGGATGACCTGTCGCTATGGGAGGAGGACTTCCGCTGGGACATCGGAATTCCCGGCATCGTAGGTGCCATGGACGGCACCTATATCCATACGCGCGGCTAGTGTGAGAGTACGACGGCTTATGCCAGCTATGCTTGCTTGCCTTTACTTTATGATGCTATTTCTAGCATAGGATAATGTCAGAGGTCCACTGGTGATCCCCGATTGATCCTAGGGAAGGGTTACAGGCACGGTTGCCTGGGGGGTTATGGGCGCACTGACCCTCTACTTAAACAAGCCCTTTTATCCCAATGGTCTAGTGGTTGGGATTTGAGATGGTATCCAGAGCAAAGGTCTCGGGTTCGAATCCCGGCGTGTGCACTTCGGGCATTCCAGTGAAGGGGGGTGTTAGAGGTCCACTGGTGATCCCCGATTAATCCTAGGGAAGGGTTATAGGCACGGTTGCCTAGGGGGTAATGGGCGCACTGACCCGCTACTTAAACAAGCCCTTTTATCCCAATGGTCTAGTGGTTGGGATTATGAGAGATAATTATATGCATGCATGAATTGCTTGATTTCCTAGGCTAGGTGCTTTCCTATATTTTATTATAGTTATAGCACCGAGCTAGGTTGCGAGCACCGAATTCTGGCTTTTCGGTTGCCACCGAATTGCCTTCTACCGAATTCGGGAAGGATCTGTTCGGGACGCTCGCGACCCGCGGAACCTTCGCGTAACACCTGGTTACGGGGCCTTGTGTCGAGCCTACATATAGCCTCGTGTCGTACCCAGTGAGGAAAGTAGAACGAGGATGAATGACTAAGGAATGGAAGTGATACAAATATGCAACCCTAGAAATGTGTACCCCATATGGGCTACCCCACTATAGCCTACACAATATTATAATTTGACACACCCCCATAGGCAAAGTGGGGGAGAACAAGGGGTCACAAGACCAGTCAAGCAAAGCAGACAAAGCTCAGGGTGGATCACAACGTCACCACACAGTCCGAGCACAAGGTCAAGGCCACAAGGCCAGTTCACATGCAGGAGTACACATATATATATATAAGGCTAAACAAGCAAGAGCAGGTATATATATATGTAAGAGTACAAGCAAGGTCAAGGGGTGAGCAAGTGAGGCAAGACAGGCACAAGACCCAGCTGAGTGCAGAAGCGCTGATGATCACAAGGCGCAAGTGCCTTGGTGAAAACATCAGCAGTTTTGGCCTCAGAGGCCACGTACGCAAGTCGCAACTAACCACGTTGCTGCAACTCACGAGCAAGAAAGTAGCGGAGAGCAATGTGCTTCGTTCTGTGCTCCAGGCGCTGCTCCCGACACAAGGCTAGCATGGCCTTGTTGTCTACATACAACACCGGAGGAGAACGAGGCGGCTCTCCGAGGTCAGTCAACAGGTAGGTAAGCCAGCGAAGCTCCTGTGCAACCATGGCCCCGGCGTAGATCTCAGCCTCACAAGTGGAGCCGAGAACAGAAGACGAGCGAGTAGCCCGCCACGAAACAGAGCCGGAACCAAGGCTGAAGGTGTAACCCTGTGACGACCGCTGCGTAGCCTGGTCGTCAGCCCAAGAAGCGTCCGCGTGCCCAGTGAGGACCACTGGACTCCGCCCTCCAAGCACTAGCCCCATGCCCGACGTACTGCACAAGTAGCGCAACACCCTCTTCGCTGCAGCCATGTGCTCTGGTCGGTGTCTCCCAGGAGCAACATAGCGTGCAAGAATGCTAAGAGGGTATGCAAGGTCAGGTCGTGTGCAGCTCATCAGGTACATGAGGCAGCCAACAAGCTCTGGGTACGGGCCACTCGACTCTACGGACTCATCCGAAGGCAGAGCTGAGAGCGAGTGGCGAGTAGACAGAGGAGTGGCCTGAGGCGAGGAGTACGTGAAGCCGAAGCGCTGAAGGACCTGCTGCACCATGTGTGACTGAGTCAAGGTAATGGTGCGGCGTGCTCTGTCCCGGGTGATCTGCAAGCCAAGGTAGCTGCGCAGTTCACCCAGGTCAGTGCACGTGTGTCTCTTCTGCAGCTCGGACTTCACGTGGGCGAGTCCAGCAGTGTCAGCTGTGGCAAAGACCAAGTCGTCGACGTACACGAGGATGTAGAACGGCGGCAGAGAGGTGTCGGTGCGTAGAAACAGCGACGGGTCAGCAGTAGAGGGAGCAAACCCAAGAGCCGCAAGTGTAGTCCTCAGTGTGTCGTGCCACTCGCGCGGTGCCTGGCGGAGACCGTAGATTGACCGTCGGAGGCTCCACTGGGTGCCAGGAGGGAAAGTCCCAGTGAAGCCAGGTGGACGGCGCAACCAGATCTCCTCGTGCAGGCTACCCTGCAGGAAAGCAGTGCTGAAGTCAAGGGAGTGAAGCTCGTAGTCACGCTGAGCGGCTACGTGTAGCAGCACCCGAAGAGTGGTCATCTTCGGGGTGGGAGAGAAGGTCTGAAAGTAGTCAACTCCTTGCCGCTGACTGAAGCCACGAGCCACGTACCGCGCCTTGAAGACAGGTGGAGAGCCCGGCGGCCGCTGCATCCATAGCTGCCTGCCACTGAGAGGAGTAGGGACCCTCTACGGCCTCCGCGTAAGAGCGCGAAGTCGGGATGTCTAGTGCATCTGGGTCTCCCTCAGGGGTAAGCAGTACGGACGTGAGATGAGGTGAAGCAGCAGCCAAACACTGGAACTCCTCCTGCCTGTCCTCAAGGACGTCCGTGCCAAGAGCACACTCACCCCCGACGGACGGAGGACAGACAGACGCAGACTCAGCAACAAGACTAGCAGCGTAGTCTAGACGACAGCGAGCAGCAAAGTCGACGAGCTCAGCAACAAGAGCAGACGCAGCAGTGGACTCAAAGGAGGGGTCAGTGACGACAGTAGCAAGGAGACGCGTGACAGTAGGACTGGCAGCACGAAGAGAGTCCGACTCAGGGTCGGCAAGCGCAGGAAGAGAGGACTCAGGAGGAGAGGGCAAAGGGGCAC